ACAGGCATCCACTGAAGAGCATTCATTGCGTGTACTAATTTCAATGGATCATCCTTCAAAGGAGGGCCAGACAAGGAGGGGTGGGAGGAAAAGCAGGATTGAGACTGATCTGCCAGAAGATCGCGACAGTCAGAGAGGAAGGGTCATACTTTTTGTCATGATGGAGAGAACGACCATGAGCTCCATGATAAGTATGTTGGAGAGAATAACCATGATCTCCATGATAAGTATGTTGGAGAGAACGACCATGAGCCTCATGATCGGCGGTTGCCACGAAGGAACCACAGCAGGGATGACAACTGCTAAGATCTGAGTTGCAGGGGAAACCACTCTGCACTACACTCTACTTGGTGCTGGCCGTCGACGCCCTGATGGTCTCTGGCAGCTTGATTGGCTTCGTCTTCCCTCCGCTGCCACCTGCGCCAGTCTCGCAGCCCCTATTGCTGCACCTACCAGCTCTTTTCAACAGTGGCATCATCATTTTGGCCATTTATGTGGTTCTCGTCTCTCGTCTTTGGTTCATCGCGGTGTTCTGGGGTCTGTCTCCGGTAATGCTTCGCTGGATTGTCTGGGTTGTAGGCTTGGTAAGCAGATTCAGCTACCCTATCCTCACAGCGAGTCGGTGTCCGAGCGCCCTTTTGATCTCATTCACTTTGATGTTTGGAGTCCGGCTCCCTTTGCTTCAAAACGGGGTCATCGCTACTATATTATCTTTAGACGATTTTTTTAAGTATACTTGGATCTATTTCATGTCGTCCCGTAGTGAGGTCTTATCTATATACAAAAAATTTGCTGCCATGGTTCATACACAGTTTTCCACCCCTATTCGTGTTTTTGTGCAGATTCAGCTGGTGAGTATATCTCCCATGCGCAGCGAGGTTTCCTTGCTGAGCAGGGTACTCTTACTCAGTTCTCTTGCCCTAGTGCTCATGCTCAGAACGGTGTGGCTGAGCGCAAGCATCGTCACCTTCTTGAGACGGCGCGTGCAATGATGATCAGCGCCTCTCTTTTGCCTCACTTCTGGGCTGAGGCTGTTACCACTTCCACCTATCTCATAAATATTCAGCCATCTGCTGCTCTACAGAGTGATATTCCTCTCGAGCGTCTTTCTGGTCGTTCTCCTGATTATTTGGCGCTTCGTTTGTTTGTTTGCCTTTGCTATGTTTTGCTTGCCCCTCGTGAACACACCAAACTGATTGCTCAGTCTGTTGAGTGTGTCTTTCTTGGATATAGTGACGAGCATAAAGGGCTATCGGTGTTGGGATCCTATCGGTCGTCGGATGCGTATTTCCCAAGATGTGACTTTTGATGAGTCTCGTCTTTTCTACCCGCGTCCATCCTCTCCTGCCTTTTCCACGGAGGACATCTCTTTTCTTACGTTTTCGTATACACCTCCCTCCATGCCCAGTATTCCTACTCCTCGTCCTGCTGTTGCAGATCGGATGCCGTCCTCTTCTACGGGTTCTTCTTCCCCCTCCTCGCATGACTCTCCACCTTCCACTTCTCCACCTTCATCACCGATACATTCCTCGTCTCCACCTCCTGTGGTTTCACCTCTTCCCTCCTTTCCTTTTCATTATACTCGTCGTCCACATGTTATGGATGAGTCTACTAATGTGCCCTCTACTTCTGGTGTGTCTTCCTCCTCTCAGCCGACCTATGGTCTTCGCTCTCGGCCTTGTCCGCCCCCTCGCTGATATTCTCCTTCTCGCTATGGTCTTTCGATCGTTCTTGAGCCGACATCTTATCGAGATGTTGTTGTTCATCCTGAATGGCAGCTTGCGATGGCAGAGGAGATTGCCGCCCTTGAGCGCACTGGCACATGGGATCTTGTTTCTCTTCCTCCCTGTGTTTGTCCAATCACTTGTAAGTGGGTCTATAAGATTAAGACCCGCTCTGATGGTTCTCTTGAGCGTTATAAAGCTCGTCTTGTGGCTCGTGGTTTTCAGCAGGAGCATGGTTGTGATTACGATGAGACTTATGCTCCTGTGGCCCATATGACCACTGTCCGCACACTTCTCGCTGTGGCCTCTGGTCGCCATTGGTCTGTGTACCAGCTTGATGTGAAGAATGTCTTTCTAAATGGTGAGTTGCGTGAGGAGGTTTATATGCAGCCACCACCTGGGTATTCTGTTCCTGATAGCATGGTTTGTCGTCTTCGTCGCTCTTTCTATGGCCGTAAGCAAGCCCCCCGTGCTTGGTTTGAGCGCTTCGCCTCTGTGGTGACTACCGCTGTTTTTTCGCCCAGTGTTCATGATCCAGCGTTGTTTGTCCACCTTTCTCCTCGTGGTAGGACTCTTCTTCTATATGTTGATGACATGATCATCACTGGTGACGACTCTGAGTACATTTTCTTTGTCAAGTCATGTCTTAGTGAGCAGTTTTGTACTTAGTGAGCAGTTTCGTATGTCGGATCTTGGTCCTCTTCGATATTTTCTTGGGATTGAGGTTTCTTCTACCTCTGATGGCTTCTTTATTTCCCAAGAGAAGTATATCCAGGATCTTCTCGCTCGTGCGGCCCTTACTGATGAGCGCACCGCTGAGACTCCTATGGAGCTCAATGTTCATCTTCGTGCTTCTGATGGTGAGCCCTTGTATGATCCGACACGTTATCATCATCTTGTTGGGAGTCTTGTCTGTCTCGCTGTCACTCGTCCGGATATCTCCTACCTTGTCCATATTCTGAGTCAGTTTGTTTTCGCTCCCACTTCGGTTCACTACAGTCACCTTCTTCGTGTTCTACGATATCTTCGTGGCGCGATCTCTCACCGTCTCTTCTTTCCCCGTTCCAGCTCACTACAGCTCCAGGCCTATTCGGATGCTACATGGGCTAGTGATCCCTCGGATCGTCATTCACTATCTGTTTACTGTGTTTTTCTTGGTGGTTCTCTCATTGCATGGAAGACAAAGAAACAAACTGCAGTTTCCCGTTCGAGTGCAGAGGCCGAGTTGCGAGCTATGGCTCTATTGACGGCAAAGGTGACTTGGTTTTGATGGCTGCTTGAGGATTTTGGTGTTTCTGTTAATCACCTGCTACCCTCTTGTCAGACAGTACAGGTGCTATCAGTATTGCGCGGGATCCTGTGAAGCATGAGCTTACCAAGCATATTGGGGTTGATGCTTTCTTTTTGCACGCTGGTGTTCAAGATCATGTTATTGCTCTTTAGTATGTGCCTTCCGAGTTACAGTTGGCGGACTTCTTCACGAAGGCCCAGACTAGAGCGCAACATGGTTTTTACCTCTCCAAACTCAGTGTTGTGGATCCACCATGAGTTTGAGGGGTGTGTTAAGAGTTATATTTATGTTGGCCTTTGGCCTTTTGCATTCTGGCCTTTGGCCTCCCTTATGTACTTGATGGCTTTGGCCTTGAGATAATACCAAGTTGCTTTCATAAGAGCATCTCTAACAGGCGCGCCAAAAGATGCGCGCGCGCGGTAAAACCAGCTTTTAGCGCGCGCGGGATGTTTTGCCGCGCTCCAGCGGTGGCGGGAAACTCGCGCGCGCGGGAAGGCGGCAGCGCGCGCGCCATTTTTGGCGCACCGCTTCCGGCGCGCCTATAAAATGCGGCGCTCGCCACACGCCTTCTCCACGACTCCGATTCCTCTTCCTCTGCCATGCGCCTTTTCCACGACTCCTCTTCCTCCTCCTCTGCCACGCGCGCCTCCACCGCTCCAGCGCCCCGCCACTGACGCGCCACCATGCCGCCGCGCCGCCGAGGAGCGTCGGGCTTCCGCGGCGTCCGCCTGCGCCCCAACGGCGGGTACTACTCCGAGATACGCTCTGGCGATCTCCGGCTTGGCCTCGGCACCTACGGGACGGCGCGCGAGGCCGCCCGCGCGTACGACGCGGCGGCGTGGCGCCTAGCCAGGCCGCATGGGCAGATGAATTTCCAGGACGTCTACACGCTCCAGCAGGCGCTGGACGTCGCCCCGCCGCCTCGTCTTAACACGACAGAAGACCGTGCGGAGCACGTTGAGCGGCAGCGCCACCTCCTCGTCGCCCAGGAGGACGAGCGGGTCATGGGGGAGTGGCGCCGGCGCCACCCGGAGGACGTCGCCTACTGGGCAAGGCGCTGCGAGGAGGACACGCGAAGGCGCCACGATTCGCGGTTGGACAGGCGTCGGCGGAAGGCATTGGTGAATGCGCAGTCGGATATCGTTGCAGCAGGTGGGAGGTCGTTCTTCACGGAAAACGATGATCGTTGGTTGGACATATGGCTCGATACCTCGGACGACACCGACGAGGATGATGATGGTGATGATGATAGCGACGTGGAGTAGTTTCTATCTAGTTGCGCCGTAGTTTATCTATGCTTTCGAACTATCTATCTAGTTGCACCGATGTAAAATACCTTTGTATCATTTTTTATTTATGCAATCTATCTAGTTTTTATTTATCTATGCTTCCGATTTATCTAAAAATAAAAAAAATGTTGTGTGCGCGCTGCATTTTTTGCGCGCTGCTGGAGCGGCGCGCGCGCTGCATTTTAGTGCAGCTGCTGGAGCCAGCGCTGCGCGCCGCGCCAAACCAGGCGATGGGCGCGCGGCAAACCAGTTTTTTGCGCGCGGCGCGTTCGGCGCCTGTTGGAGATGCTCTAACAACTGTGATGCACTGAAGCTCGCGCGGCCGACAAGCAACAAGTTGGTGGCACTGATGGTGACACATAGCGCTGCAGCAGCGGCACGGGGATGGGGGAGGAGTATCAGCGGTGTGGTTGGATGAACTCGCTTGTTGGGTCGTGCATGGGTTGGATTCCTTAGGATCGATGGGGTTGTGCGTGTGCTGGTTTTCCCCTCTTTTTTTGCTATTTTTCTACGTAGGGGGATGGTTGGAGGGGGCGGGATGGGAGAGGAAACTCTTGCTTTATAGCAGCAGAGATTCCAATAAGTAAACTACAATCTGGCACCTAATTACAATCTTCTTTGTTATGTACTAAATGTTAAATGCCTATTTGCTGCAATTCTTGAAGTGCTAACTGTTATATCTTATTCTATTTCCAGAATGTAGCATATGAATCACTCCATGATTTGCTGAGCACACCCCTTAAATCAAGTATGTTGGTTAAATCCATTTGTAGTTGCTAATAAGGTTCCATGAGCACACATCTAATGATCTATATGGTTTATACTGCATTCCATTCCAAGATTTAGATGATACACATGACTCTTTTCGTATGATCATGCTTGTTTTTATTTCTTTGTTCATCTCCCTGGCCATGTGCATGGGAGTTGGGACTTTAATGACGACGTTAATGATATTAGGCTAGATAACCTGGAAAGCTAATTCCAATCCAATTCTTTTTTGTACTTAAACTTTACTTGATTTTGCAGTGTCCACACATTTAATTCATCAAGCTACATACAGAGATCCTTGCACCCCAAGGGGATTTTCACGCATGGCGGGACCAGTTAAACTTCCCGCTAGTGTTCTCGAGTCCAAGGCTGACTACAAACATTTTGCTCATGCGGTTGGCAACTTCTCCGAGTGTAGATCTGTGGTGAGAACATTATTGCAGAAAGGACAAGGTAGGTATCACTCTTAAGGCATCTCTAACCCTTCTCCTCAAACTTAACTCCCGATAATTTGAGGCTTTTGGGAGGCTTGCACAGTTCTCGATTTTTCAATGCACTTAGAGGAATATCATGATTCTGTTTGCCTGATGATGAACCGCTGTAGTCAAAGTCAATAGTTCACCACTTGACCTCTCTTATCCTTTATGGTCATTTCATGCAAGATCACACATGTTGTCATGATCTTCTACAATGTCTTTTTGTCTCAATACACAACAGGTCCACGGACATTTGCAAAGCGAGTTCGCAACATCCAAATGCTCTCTCAACATTCTTTCTCGCGGCTTCTTGACACAATGCAAAGTGAGATCTGTTGTTGCCTTGTGGGTGTGGAATTGTTTTCACAAATGTGGCCCATGAGCGGCAGATGCCATTGTGATAACCCTAGCTCGATCTAGAGAACACAATACTGGATAGAGGGGAATTTGAAACTGGGAATGATAACTTGGGAGGGAAGGAGACTGGGTTCAGAATATTAAGTCACTATTACATTCGCTGAACTAGCCGTTCAGGGTCGCTGGGGTTATATACCCACTCACTCTCTCCTAGCTATGCCGGCACGTCCTACCACTCTTAAGTCTTTACATGGCCCATGGCCGACACTCGTTTAAATGTCTGTACCTTCTACCAAATTCCCTCCTACTTGTCTGGCGTCTCTTGTCATCCGATCCATGTCCATGGTGCTGACAACCATCTGCAAGGTAGTAGCCGATATCGTACTTGCAAGAAAGTAGCCCATATCGTACTGGTAGCCATTGATTTCATAGTTGCATGGAGGAGCTTCCTTGATAGCTAACCTTGCAAATAGAGATCTCTGCAAGACGTTGAGGTCACTAGACCATGATGGCACGCGCTGCTTTGCCCATCCAGTTGTCCAATAAAATGACACTCCCTCTGATTCAAATTAATTGACGCAACTTTAGTACAACTTTGTACTAAAGTTGCGTCAATTAATTTGGAACGGAGGGAGTAGAAATTTCCGTAATACATGACATCTAGATTATACAAGTTAAATTTGCACGAATTAACACATATTAGTTATAATTGAAGGGACACAGCGTTTTGGCTATGCACCCGAGGTGAACCGTAAATTCATTTAAAATAGTAAAAAAATATAAAACAAATCCGTTTTTTTTGTAAATCTAGATGCTCATATGTGTGAAGTCCCTGCCAAATTTCATGGAGTTTGGGCATTTCAATATCTCCTAGCAAAGAAGACAAATTTTGGATCTGTAAGAAAGTTTCTTGTTCACATACTGTTTTGACCGATTTTGTCTTTTTTGCCATGAGCTCCTCGGATGTCCGAACAAGCTGAAATTTGGCACGAATATCATGCGTTGGAACATCTTCCACCTAATTTTTTTCTTCAGATTTTTCTGTTTTTTTAGTTCCATTTATGAATTTGCTGTTCACCGAGTGCAGATGAGCCCGGGCACCGAACTGAATATTCGTAACTGAAGTGATTTTTGATCAATTAGTAGGGAAGAATTTGGTTCTTGGATCTAATGAGCCTCAAATATATGCTTTTTAATTATACCGGTTGATGCTAAATACACAACCACATGTGTTGGAGCACCGGCCCATATTAACAGAAAAATTGAACAAGGTGAAGAATTTAAGGTAATCAAGCATGGTGGCTTATGTTAAGAGTTATATTGATGATGGCCTTTGGCATTTTGTATTCTAGCCTCTTGGCATTCTCTTGTACATGTATATATGATGGCTTTGGCCTCCTAATACGATGAAGTTGCATATTTCCCTAACATGGTATTAGAGCTCTAGTTTTTTTCCGAGCAACTCGTGCTTTCGATCCATCTCGCGCTCGTCGTTGCTCATCCCTTTCATGTGGTCCGTCTCGATCCAGTTGCTGCCAGGGGGCTCTCGATTTCGATCCATCTCGCGCTCGTCGTTGCTCATCCCTTTCATCTGGTCCGTCTCGATCCAGTTGCCGCCAGGGGGCTCTCGATCTGCCCCAATTCCTTCTGATCTGGGTTGTTAGACTGCTACCTTCGATCGGCTGCTCCTCTCCCGTAAAGGCTCGCTGCGGCCGCGTGAAGCTTTGGCCATCCGTCCTGTAGGTCTTCGCCTTCTGTCGGATTCCGCCCGCCAGCCGCCGGATCCGTGACTCCCTGTCGACCCATGTGCGCTTCCTTGCGCCGCCCAGCTTGTCGCACTCCTGACCCCGTTGCGCCTGGCCGTCGTGCTGACCTGCCGCTGCTGACTCCGGCATCGACGGCCGACTGCTTGATCTCCTCGGCCTGCGACTGCCCCTTGCTGGATCCCGCCGCCCAGTCGCCGGTCTTTACTACCCCTGCCGGATCCCCTCACCTTCGGCTGGACCTGCTACCCCCTGTCGGATCGAGCCGCCCTGCCACTCCATCCGGTCCCCCGCATCTCTTTTGCTCGCCGAGTGCGTGGACTGCATCGGTCTCGGGTGACTGCTACCCTTCCACGTCCGTGAGGCCTTGACTTAGATCGATCAACTTGCCTTGGGCTGGTGGTGGGCCTTCGTGAGGCCGTGATTAGCTTGTCCTGTTCGGCTTACTCGAGAGGCTTCTTTCGGCTGTCAACTGATAGTTCTGCTGCTGCTTGTTGCATATAAAAAGAGAGAGAAAAAAAGAGAGTTAAAAATATGCTCTCGTCTGGACTCGTCTTTTGCCCTTGCTATCCGGTGATTTTCGACGATGTTCCCTACATTGACCCCGTCCCGCACATACGTCGTCGGTCAGTACTTGGTGCTCGTCCATCTGTGACGTTGTCACCTATGGCGTCTTCAGCTGGTTGTGTTCTTACGGCTGATGGCACTCCCATCTACGTCGACTCGTCTCGCGGCACCGCGCGCGGCGGTGATCGCTCTACGTCGATTCGTCTCGCGGCACCGCGCGCGGCGGTGACCGCTCTACGTCGACTCGTCTCGCGGCTTTCGCGTGCGGCGGTGACCGCTCTACATCGACTCGTCTCGCGGCTTTCACCTGCGGTGGTGACCGCTCTACGTCGACTCTCGCAGCTTCCGCGCGCGGCGGTGACCGCTCTACGTCGACTCGTCTTGCGGCTTCCACGCGCGGCGGTGACCGCTCTACGTCGAGTCTCGCGGCTTTCGCGCGCGACGGTGATTGCTCTATGTCGACTCCCACAGTGGCTTCCACATACGGCTCTACGTCGACACGCTACTTTAGGTCGACTCTACACACAGCTTCCACGGGTGGTGGAGACTGCTTATTATTGGCAGGTGGTTCTACCTCGTCCACTTCCGCCATGTCCCTGTCTCCTCGTGAGATTGCGCAGCTGCAGTCTCTGCTTGCTACTTGGGATTCTTCACCGACAAGTTTTGCAGGTTCCGTGACTGACTCTTCTCGCACTGAGAAACCACCTTCTACTCATTTAGGTAGTCACTCTTCTCGCACTGAGAAACCACCTTCTACTCATTTAGGTACATCCCCATGGATTCTTGATACCGGAGCATCTTTTCATATGACATGATTCTTCTAGGTTGACCTTCGTTCGACCTGTTGAGTCTCCTGTTCGTGTTCTTACGGCTGATGGCACTCCCCTCCTTGTAGCTAGTTGAGGCACTCTTAGCACTTCTTCATTTCATGTTCCCTCTGTCGCTCATGTTCCTCGACTTACCACGCACCTCATATCTGGTGATCAGATTGTTGACTCTAGTTGTAGGGTCATCCTCGACTTCGATTCGTGCTCTGTCCAGGATCGTCGCACGGGCGCTCTACTTGGTGCTGGCCCTCGACGCTCTGATGGTCTCTGGGAGCTTGACTGGCTACGTCTTCCTTCCGCTGCCCCCGTTGCCAGTCTCACAGCCCGTGTTGTGCATCTACTATCTCTTTTCAACAGTGGCATCATCGTCTTTGCCATTTATGTGGTTCTCATCTCTCGGCTTTGGTTCATCGCGGTGTTCTGGGGTCTGTCTCCGGTAACGCTTCGTTGGATTGTCTGGGTTGTAGGCTTGGTAAGCAGATTCAGCTACCCTATCCTCACAGAGTCGGTGTCCGAGCGCCCTTTTGATCTCATGCGCTTTGTTGTTTGGGGTCTGCTTCCCTTCGCTTCGAAAGGGGGTCATCGCTACTATATTATCTTTATAGACGATTTTTTCCAGTATACTTGGATCTATTTCATGTCGTCTCGTAGTGAGGTCTTATCTATATACAAAAAAATTGCTGCCATGGTTCAAACCCAGTTTTCCACTCCTATTCGTGTTTTTCACGCAGATTCAGCTGGTGAGTATATCTCCCATGTGCTGCGAGGATTTCTTGCTGAGCAAGGTACTCTTCCTCAGTTCTCTTGCCTTGGTGCTCATGCTCAGAATGGTGTGGCTGAGCGCAAGCATCGTCACCTTCTTGAGACGGCGCGTGTGATGATGATCGACGCCTCTCTTCCGCCTCACTTCTGGGCTGAGGCTGTTACCAATTCCACGTATCTTATTAACATTCAACCATCTGCTACTCTATAGGGTGGCATTCCTCTCGAGCGTCTTTCTGGTCGCTCTCCTAATTATTCGGTGCTTCGCTTGTTTGGTTGCGTTTGTTATGTTTTGCTTGCCCCTCGTAAACGCACCAAACTGACCGCTCAGTCTGTTGAGTGTGTCTTTCCCTGATAGAGTGATGAGCGTAAGGGCTATCGGTGTTGGGATCCCATCGGCCGTCGGATGCGTATTTCTCGGGATGTGACCTTTGATGAGTCTCGTCCCTTCTACCCGCGTCCATCCTCCTCGGCCTTTTCCACAGAGGATATCTCTTTTCTTACGTTTCTGGATACACCTCCCTCTGTGCCCAGTATTCCTACTCCTCGTCCTGCTGCTGCAGATTCGACACCGTCCACTCCTACGGTTTCTTCTCCACCCTCATCACATGACTCTCCACCTTCATCATCGATACCTTCACCTTCTACACCTTCATCACCGATATCTTTCCCTTCTCCACCTTCATCGGTACATTCCCCGTCTCCGTCTCCAGTGATTCCACCTCTTTCCTCCTTTCCTTTTCATTATACTCGCCGTCCACGTATTGTGGATGAGTCTACTGATGTGCCCTCTACATATGGTGTGTCGTCTTCCTCCTCTCAACCGACTTATGGTCTTCGTTCTCGGCCTTGTCCGCCCCCTGACCGATATTCTTCTTCTCACTATGGTCTTGCGACCGTTCTTGAGCCGACTTCTTATCGAGATGCTATTGTGCATCCTGAATGGCAGTTTGCGATGGCAGAGGAGATTGCTGCTCTTGAGCGCGCCGGCACATGGGATCTGGTTTCTCTTCGTCCCGGTGCTCGCCCATCACTTGTAAGTGGGTCTATAAGATAAAGACTCGCTCTGATGGTTCTCTCGAGCGTTACAAAGCTCGTCTTGTGGCTCGTGGCTTTCAGCAAGAGCATGGTCGCGATTATGATGAGACTTTTGCTCCCGTGGCCCATATGACCACTATCCGTACACTTCTTACCGTGGCCTCTGTTCGCCATTGGTCCGTGTCTCAGCTTGATGTGAAGAATGCCTTTCTAAATGGTGAGTTGCGTGAGGAGGTTTATATGCAGCCGCCACCTGGGTATTCTGTTCCTGATGGCATGGTCTGTCGTCTTCGTCGCTCTCTTTATGGCCTTAAGCAAGACCCCCTTGCCTGGTTTGAGCGCTTCACGTCTGTGGTGACAGCCGCTGGTTTTTTGCCCAGTGCTCATGATCCAGCGTTGTTTGCCCACCTTTCTGCTCGTGGTAGGACTCTTCTTCTTCTATATGTTGATGACATGATTATCATTGGCGACGATTCCGAGTACATTGCCTTTGTCAAGGCTCGCCTCAGTGAACAGTTCCTTATGTCTGATCTTGGTCCTCTTCGTTACTTTCTTGGGATTGAGAACCTTCCAGTCAACCGCCTAATGTCATAACTCCGCCTACCTGCTAGCCAAGTAACTTCATCAACTCAGGGATCAAAGTAAGACAGTCTTCTTGACATGCCACCAATGAATAATGAGGTAGTTGAGATAGTCTAAATCGTGAAAGGATATTTGGTTTCCGAAAGTAATGCATGAGTACTTCTCATTTTTCACCAGAGTTGATAGATCACAATTATTTTGAAAGCTTCACCAAACCTCCTTCGGTTATTTAAATCACTCATTAATAAATATGTGTTCCATTAATCATCTAGCTCACTATTCCCTCAAAATAAAATGATCTGGCTCCTTGAAATTACAAGGATCAAGGTTGCTAGCAAATCTTGCAAGCAAATTTGATTTACCAACAGAAGAGTCACCAATCAGAACCATTTTGAACAGATAATCCGGGCGTTGTTGCTGATTTCTACCATAAGCAATCCTGTAACAGCCCATAGAAGCAATTGCCTTTATAGTGTCACAAGATTACGGTAGCCCTGCTAAGCACCAAATTAACATCACAGAATGGGTAGATAACAAAGGCAGGTGAGTTATGTACTTATGGCACAATAAAGGGCAAGAAAATTGTAATAATGTTAAGTAATGATTAAAATACAATGATATAAGAAATATTTGTACAACTGATATACGTGCATGATAAGAAGCTGCTTTGCTGTACTAAAAAAATACTTTGTCATACTGCTTTACCCTCTGCAGAACAAATTGAGCAAGTCAATGCAATTAACAAACTAAACGTCCAGTCAATCACTATGAAAGCCTATATATTACTACTAAATCACATGTTCTATTATCTTTAATGTCTGTACTGTCAAGATTTTCTATAACAGGAAATCCTTAATTTCATCTTTCCACGTATAGAAGATTTCCAGAAGGTGCATATTCGACGAGAGGCATTTATCAACTACAATCAGGAGGTGAAAATAAAAGAAATGTGTGTGTTTAGACCATCAATTTTGAACATTTTCAGTGTACCACGATCCAGCAAATAAAGACAAGTCAATCACGTGAACAAAACCAGGTGGAATCAAGCCTACATGCAATTGATGAGCACTGTTTACTGTCACTGGGATCTTAGCAGAACTGTTCACTGCCCCTGGGATCTTAGCAGAACTGTTCACTGTCAGTAATCCACGAACTGAGACCACCCCAAACTTCAATTACTCGAGCACAAATGAGACTTACAACATGGACCCGCATGTGATTGAACCTATCAGCTCTAGGCAGTGAATTAACTTTAACATGCCCTATGCAGAGTATAAAGGGTGAGCACTCTGAAGCCTGCTGCTCAAATTCTACTTCACAGTTTGGCATACCGACAGTACTGTCATAATGGATAATGGATAATTGGATATAGAGTATGTTGGATCGGCAGGAAATAAATACTTACAGGAATAACCATCTTTTGCCAACTTCACCATTTTCTTTCGAGAAAACACAAAGACTTTGCGTTTCATTGCATTGAAAAGAGGGAGAGGGTCAACAGTACAAGCCTCCGAGATGGAGGGTTACAGGTTCAAACCAAAAAAAGGATCAGTGGACGTCCCAGGTCATCGGTAAGACTACGCCTAGGCATGTGGCGCCTGCTCTCACCCAAAGGGTCGCTTCCTCTCTGATCCTAGCCGTGAGTTCAGCAACGGAGGACTGGGCGCCGTCGAACACGCAGGCGTTCCTCTGTTTCCGGATCAACCAGGCCGTGAGGTGCGTCGCCGAGGCGAAGCCTTTCCGCATCGTTCGTGGAGTCGCGTGCTTGGCATGTAGGCACCAGTCGTTGAGGGAGTTGTCTTGGTCCGGCGGCCGGCAGGTCATACGAAGCCAGGAGAGGGTCTCGTGCCAAGCTTGCCGCGAGAACGGACAGGTGATCATGAGGTGATGCATGGACTCTGGCTCTTGGTCGCATAGGACACAACGCGGGTGGTGCTGGAGGCCACGCCGTTGCAATCTGTCCGCGGTCCAACATCTGTCAAGGTTGGCAAGCCACATGAAGAACTTGACTCGTGGGGGAGCCCAGTTTTTCCATAAAAGTTTCCAAGCAACGCAGCCCGAAGATCCCTGGAATGATGCAAGGTAGCCGCTGCGCGCGGAGTAGATGCCGTTAAGGCTCCATTGATAAACAAGAAGGAAAATGGAAAAGTAGAAAATCACTTCCAAATGAGTTGGTCAGGGCGGTCATGAAGGGTGACACGCGCCTTCACCATCTAGAGCAGAAAAATCATCTACAAACTCTATTGAGCAACCTTGGCCATCATGTACATTATCTTCAGCCTGCGAGAAAAGAGTGCGATGGAGAGGATTGGTAGGACGCCAAATCTGCTCAAATCTACACGGGGTGTTTTTCGGGATCTCCTTAAAATGCTTTGGGAGTTAGGGAAGGGTTAAATGCTCTTAACTCCATAAAAAATCTGTTTTTTTGGGAGTTAAAGCTTTTTACGGGAAGGGCTAGAGATGCTCTAATACTTGGTCTATATCCTTCTACCTTTCTTGATGTAAGACTTACAAGATATGTGTGACTATGCCGAGCAAATATTTCCACTGTAAATAAGAGCTGCTTGAGTTTAAGATGTGTAGTGCTTTTGAGGAGAAAACTTTAGACAATGGACTACATAACTTTACATTATTGAATACAGAAGAAAATTTATCTTTGCTTTAGCTTGCATATGTAGAATCTATATCTGTATATATACCTGCCTACTAATAAAGGGAGGAGTACTTCTGCCTGCCTCTAATAAAGGGTGGAGTACTTCTGCCCGTTTGTCACACATTTTGCAGAAAACCCTGCCTTTTTCAGTAATTAACCCGCAGTGCGTCTTTAAGTTGCAAGGACGAACCGCTTTTTTTGCATTTTACCAAAAAAAACTCGTCTTTTCTGCTAATTAACCCGCAATCCACCTTTAAGTCAGGCCGAATCGTTTTTTACATTTTTACAGAAAACCTGTTGATATTTGCTTTAATCAACCCACAGTCCATCTAAAATAAATGTTTTTTAAATAATCGTATCTTCTAAATCCTAACTTCAAAATTAACATGTCATTAGATTTTTCCCATGTCACTTATGATCATTGTAATAGAGAGCGTAATGGAGTAGCTAATGAACTAGCAAGGTTAGCTAGGTTTTCTCCTCCGAGAGTTTGCATGGATAACGCCCCTGATGAGGTTATCCCCCTACTTGTAAAAGATGCTGCATTACTTATGAATGAATAAAGGAGGAGAAGTTTATAAAAAAAACATGTTATATATGGATTTTGATTAAAAAAATGTGTAGAATCTGAATAGATGTTATTTTACCTATTAAATATTTCTAAAATACTATTTAGGATGCAAACTTAATCCACGCGCATACTTACCAACAAACTACAAGACTTCTTTTTGTAGTGAATACACAAACACTTTTTATATGAATGTTAATATTGGGACCGATACGTAGGATATCAATTTGTGTTCCATCTGCTGCACGTGACGGTGACACATATAGGTTTTCTTAAATAGACTTAATTCATAGACGCCATCAATACTTTCCTCAGTGTCGAGCGGCACCGTCTAGATGCTGTCTGGGTGGGGCTGTGGGTACACGCCATCAATATGACGAGTCAAAATCAAAACTGAATCGAAATGAAAATAGCGGCTCAGATAAAAAAATATTTTCTCTCCCGTTGCAACGCACGGGCATATTTGCTAGTATACCAAAAGGCAAAAGGTGATTCTACCAATGGCTTCCTCTGAAATACCGATGATTGACAATGGATGGCAAAAACTTTACTGGTTCCTGACATTTTTGCTATGGTCTGATCGGCATGATGCTCTGACATTTTTTGTTGCTAAGTACAGTAATTCTGCTACATTCCAAATACAAAACTTGCAAATACGATTATGCTTTTAACATTCGATCGAATCATGGAGTACAGTTTCTAACATGGTTTATTTTTCTCCATTTATTTCATACTGTAATAAAGGAGACTAAACATTTCCTCCCTTCGCAGAGGAATGTATATATCATGATTGTCGTCTGGGAGCAGCATTTGTACCAGACCTGGAAGGAAAATTCTTAGCAACCGAGAATTTCTACCATACCTTGAAGGTTTGGTCTCTCCCTCCCTTGTGTACTTAGGTGTTCCAGAAAGTTGTGTTTGTTACATAATTAGGCTATTTTATCACTTGACAGTTCAACACAGGACAGTCATTTTTGTTGCAGAGATAGTGTTGAATATTTTATCACTTGACAGTTCTTTGGGCTCCGTTCGAAGTCTTTTCTTTCTGATTTGATGCTGGCTGGAGAGCAATTTTGCCATGGGGACTGGTCATCAAACATTAAAAGGAAGTACCGGTCTTTCAATAAGGGGGAACTGCTCCTTTTTTGCTTCTCCTCAGTGTATATTGTGGCCTTACTGCATGATACTCTAAAAGTGCCCATGGATCATAAGAAGTAGGCACCCCTTTTTACCGTTTAACTAATATTATCACCCAGTATTTACAATTTGTTATTTACAGTGTTTGTTCTGTTTCAGCATTGATGTTACAAATCAAATTCGGGGTGTGCCAGTTGACTGGGCATTGGGCGCTTTCATTGTGCAGAAAAACTAAATCGGATAGAGTACGTAGATCCATCAGTTTCGTATCTAAACTACTATGTATGACTTTCCTGGGTTGGTGCCACTTATCTTCATTAATACCGTGGTCATATTTACGGTGTGCTCCATCCTGAAGCCGAGAAGATCTCACCTCAAGACAATATAGGACATGGAGAGAGGCCGGCAGATGATAACAAGGGTCAGCCGATGAGCCTTGCGCCTGGTCGCTGGGAGTTGTTCCTGCGATGGAGCAGCAGTGATCGCATATGTAAATATTCCTGACCTGTCTTTTTACCAGTGGCCATTGTATGATTCCGACATGCTGCCCTGCTGAACAGGACCGGGTGTAAGCAACCCTTTTGTGAGCATAGTTGCTTAATGCGGTCACTGGTGCATCACGCATGGGTTGTTGAAATTCCGACATGCTGCCCTGCTGAACAGGACTGAGTGTAAGATCAACGACTTGGGTTTGCTGCAGTACTTGTGAGCATAGTTGCTTAATGCTCTATTTGGTACTCCCTCCGTCCCAAAATATAAGATCATTTTTTTATACGAAGATGGTGTAAAAAATGATCTTATATTTTTGGACGGAGTGAGTACCATATTATTACTTGTAATGTAGTTGAAAGTTGTGTGTTGTTGAAATCTTCGAAATACGTTGAATACTCTTGGGTCATCTCCAAAACAAGACCAATTTTTCATGTGTATGTTTGTTACTACCTGCAAACCAATTTTGGTCATCCTTTTTATCTTGCACGAAAATTGATTTATATCAGTATATCAAAATTTTGTAAACAAATTGTTGGCATTAAAACGATGAGCTAGAAATTGCCCTGTTAATAATTATTGCCAAAGATCTATCGGCTTCTTCATTCCTTTTTATTGTTGAGATAAGCGGCTTCTTTATTCAAAGGGATTTCAGACGAAATTTCCTTTCACTAGACCTATCGGCACTATTTTCATTCACCAGAATCGACCCCACTTTGTTAAACCTTCAATTTTGGTAAAAAGTCAAATTATCAACGGGTTGTCTCCCATCGCTGCTCTAGTGGCCCCCTTAAGCCCAAGGCACCGGAGAAGCACCACAGCCTCAGGAGGAGGCTTGCCACCGTACAACATCAAGGGACCAGGAAACACTCGTATCCTTGCATGCTCCACGCCTCCACCACACCAACATGAAGCCTTTCCTAGCCTGTGCTATATAAGGGGTACTAGGGGCACCATAGAAGAGGACCTCACCCTAGTTTTATCCTAGACCACGCGGAAGGATTCCGGTGTTTCACTAATGTAATATCCACTATCATCACAACCTGTCTGAGTCTCCTTGACTCACCCACACTCTCCACATGCGCGCGTGTGTGTACGCGCGCGCTCACACACATATTGTAATCTTGATATTCTCCACACATATAAGGAAAGAGCAAGGTAGAAAATAGGTGTTTACCCACATCGGGGCCCTACATTTGGGGTATATCATGTGTCTTCTGTGTTATGTGCCTAAGACACTGGTCTCTTAAAGTGACGCCCTCTCAACGGTAAATTCCATGTGATCCTTCTTGTACCGCTGGTAGGATCAATGTACAATCCCTTACAGCTCGTGCCAACCATGGGATGTTACGAGATCAGGGGAGATCTGGCATGGTGCTACTCGTCAAGCAAGGAATCATCACAAATATGAAGACTACCACACCTACTCCCTGGAAAGAGACTCGGGGGTTGCCACGACAATAATGCCTTCATCGTTGATTCGATGCTATGAGAGGTCGGGCTACAACGATATCAAACCGACAAAATTCACGACAGGAACGTCATAGATCTCACCGGAGATGAGACACCATGCATAAGAAAGAAGACATTGCATGATGATTACTACAGATGGGATGGGGCAGATCAACTCCTTAGGGCGGCGAACCCCAGAGACATTGGGACAACTGGCGATTAGAGCAAAGCGGCGATGGAACTCGCTCACCCGTAGGATGTATGAGGACGCAATACTATTATTGGTTCACTTCCAAAAACACGTTATTGCCATGACACGCGAATATCTATCTCATCAGGTATCACCCCGAAGAGCAGAAGATCATGCGAGGACCTTGTCGGGAGCACCTAAGGTATGGTGTGAATTCCCATCAAAAGCACAACCATGGGATCTTTGTTTGCTAGCGCATGTGAAAGCGCAGGTTTACTCCGGGGGTGGGGGGTGGGGGGTGAATGGGAGATTTTTTAGAAATTCGTCAACCTCTGATGAATTTGACGAAGAGTGAAGAAATAGAAATGTGAGCGAGACTAAATCATCACAGAATCATAAAGCATGCATAGAAGATAGCTGCAACTGAAGAACACGCAATCATAAAAAGCATTCAGGCATACAAAAGATGAACTGAAGAAATGAAAATCAACATGGTGAAAGTTTTCGGTTCAAATTCTTCAAAAGTAGATCACATATTCTTCAACAGCGGAATAATAGAAAGTAAAGGGGCGAGGAATTTAAAACCAGGTAGGCTCAGTGATGACACAATGATTTGGTAACCAGTTCCAGTTGTATCAACTGTACGTCTGGTTGAGGCGACTGAGAATGAACTCCAAAGACACTAAATCTCCACCGTATTCCTCTTGAACTAAGGTCACAACATACCTCACCCAATCACTTGTGGTAAGTCTTCAAGGTAGACTTCCAAAATCTTCACACACTTGTTCATCGGCACGCCACAATTACTCTTGGGTGCTCATAACATGACGCCTAACCATTTGTAAGAATGACAGACTTCAAAGGTAACACGTGTAGGATCACACAGATCGAACTCTTTAGTGATGCTCAATCTCTCTAGAGCAGCCAACCAACAAGTGATTGTGGGGGCGGCTATTTATAGCCAGGGGCAACTGAAAGGATCGAGAAGAGGTGTCTAGAGGGGGGTGGGGGTAGCAGTTTTTAAGTTCTTCAAGTTGAGGTTGGAGATTAGCACAATTTTAAACATTCATAATACATTTCAAGCAAGCATGGCAAGAGTATATGAGCAGCGGAAAGTAAAGCATGCAATTTGCAAGAAAGTAAAGGGATGGGATTGGAGTGTGCAAATGCAATTGGAAACATGGAGATTTTTGGTGTGGTTCTGATAGGTGGTGCTATCGTGCATCCACGTTGGTGGAGACTTCAACCCACGAAGGGTAACGGTTGCGTGAGTCCATGGAGGGCTCCACCCACGAAGGGTCCACGAAGAAGCAACCTTGTCTATCCCACCATGGCCATCGCCCACAAAGGACTTGCCTCACTCGGGTAGATCTTCACGAAGTGGACGATCTCTTTGCCCTTACAAACTCCTTGGTTCAACTCCACAATCTTTACGGAGGCTCCCAAGTAACACCTAGCCAGTCTAGGAGACACCACTCTCCAAAAGGTAATAGATGGAGTGTTGATGATGAAATCCTTGATCTTGTGCTTCAAATGATAGTCTCTCCAACACTCAACTCTCTTTCACAGATTTGGATATGGTGAAAAGATGATTTGAATGGAAAGCAACTTGGGGAAGGCTAGAGATCAAGATTCTTGTGGTTGGATTGGAATGTCTTGGTCTCAACACATGAGTAGGTGGTTCTCTCTCAGAAAATGAGTAGTGGAAGTGTATGCACGTTCTGATGGCTCTCTCTCAAATGGAGAAGGGGGTGGAGGGGTATATATAGCCTCCACACAAAATCTAGCCGTTACACACAATTTATCAAACTTGGTGAGATTGAATAGTGAAACTCGGTCAGACCGATCTAGTTTAAAATGTGAACGTTAGGATTTTCAGTGGGACCGACAAGGTCAACTTGGTGGGACCAATGTGCTAGGCTTAGGGCAAAACCTCATCTCGGTGAGACCGATTGCATGAACTCGGTGAGACCAATTTCAGCAATAAGCAAATAGAGACTTGGTCAAGCAAACTCGGTGGGACCGACTGCATATCTCAGTGAGACCAAAATAATTGGAATATGCAACAGAGAGTTTGCAGGGCCATCTCGGTGAGACCAAGATCCCATCGGTGAGACCAAACTGATTAGGGTTTCTGGCAGTGGCTATGTCAAGTGAACTCGGTGGTGCCAGATAGATCAAATCGGTGGGGCCGAGTTTGACTTTAGGTTTTGGACATATGTGGAAATGAGAAAATGGTTGAGGGCTTTGGAGCTAAGCACTTTGAGCAAGCAGACCATTAAGCAACACCTCATCCCCTTCTAATAGTATTGGCTTTTCCTATGGACTCAATATGACCTTGGATCACTAAAATAGAAAAGAAGAGTCCTGAGCTTTTGCCAATGTTTGTTCTTAGCATCTAGAAGGGGTTTCACATCCTCTTGTCCTGCCACTCCACTGTTGAACTCATCTGAAATATACTAGATGAAAATGTTAGTCCAACAAGAGATATGTTGACAATAATTACCAAAATCATCCAGAGAGCATTTGTGCTTTCAATCACCCTCTTTTTGGTAATTGATGACAACATATATCAAAACTTTTTATAAAGATGTGAAGAGTAACAAGTAAACCTTTGGAAAGACATGTAACATGCATTGGCTCCCCATACATGTATGCAATCATGTGAAGATAGATTATGAAAGCATGTGAATGCATAAGCATGTCAGAGCAAGCAATGAGCTACATGTATCTTGGCTATATGCATCAGAGCAAATGATGTAAATACAGAAAATGTTCCTTCATGTTCATGAGTCCCCTTGCAAACAATATGTACACCAGCAAGAGATCATCATGCACATGAGTGTGATGCATATACTTACCTTGTGGTCTTGAGCTGACTTTGGAAGAGATGAACTTGAGAAAACAGGGTTAGATAACACAAGAACATCAAATAATCAGAGCAAGAGCAGGGAACCACAAGAGTACCAAGACTAGGATGACATGTAGTGAGTGAGTACTTTTAGTACTCTATTTGGATATAGACATGTCCCCAAGGAATAAAGATATGCAATGAATTCCAAAGATTTTATTCCCTTAGGAATGAACTCATTCTCCCCCTGAAT